GTGGTGATCATGTAGACTTGATGCCTAAACCCTGGTAACTATGCAGACTTAGTGCCTACTTTAAATATAGCTTATATTTAAATAAAATATCATTATTACGAACCTATAAATAAGATTTATCAGTGATTCAAAGTTTTTATACTGATTGAACTACTAATGGGAGAGGTGTCTAGAATGGTTACGTTGGGTTTGGTTGTTGTATTTCAGAAAAGCTATATGCCGAAATGGTCTTGTCTCTCAATTGTCCTGCTTGGCTGATCCTTACTTGATGGATCATGAAGTAGACTCTGAGTTAGTGATGAATCTAGACTAATAATTAATCGCAATAAATATTAGACTAAAATCTAGTGGTAATAATACTATGTTTCGTCGAAAGAAATTATTTTTAAGAAGCGAAGCGTTGTCTAAGTTCGGAATCACCACCTTAACAAATGAGTGTATAATCACTTTCATTAACATAATTTTAATACAATTATTGATTGAAGTATTAAATATATGTTTATGTGCGAATTATTTGATGTTGCCTAAAATACGTGTTAAAGAACATACCTGATAATATATGATGATTTAGGATAAAGAGTAAACCTAAATTAATTATGAGGCATATTGGGTTGTATCTTCTTATGAGTACGAGTAAGATATACACGGAGAATAGAACTTTAAAATATGTCATTGATCTGGGAGCATGGATTAGACATGGTCATTTGTCCTTAGTCCGATAGTATGGATATGACATAGTTATTTTTCATTATTCCGGGAGTATGGATTTAGACATAGACAATTGTCCTTAGTCCGAGAGTATGGATAGGACATAGTTATTTGTCATTAATCCGAAAATATGGATTGATGCATAGTCAATTGTCCCTAGTCCGAGAGTCTGGAATGGGCACAATTATTGATCCGAGAGCATGGATTAGACTTACTTGATCTGGGAGTATGGATTAAGTAAAAAGGTAAAATTTAGATCCGAGAGTATGAACAGTGTCGTTGAGAGGATTGACGAGGTAGGGTAAGAGTTGTTTACACATAATGAAATTGTATACTTGTGAGTTCTAAAATATATATAATATAGCATTGTGGGATTGAAATTCCTATGTACTCACCAGGTTTCCTAACCTAACCACTCAGTTTATTTGTATCACAGGTGTCGATATGAAGCTACATTACATTGAGAGATTAATGAGATGTATATCACTAGTGTAAATGAATGTAAGATCTATTTATGCTTATGTTTCTGTATTAACGATGACATCCCAAAGTTTTAAAAGGAATAAAATACATTTTTTCAAAAATGCTTTGATAACGTATTTATCATGTTTTTCTGAGAACAAATTCCGCAACATATTTCTTTAAAGGATACTCTGATTTTCAAGATAAAGCATAAACAAATCGGTATTTTCTGGCTGTAAAAATGGGGATGTTACAGGAGGCTAGGATTTCTCAGGAATGATCTTAGGTGATGGAGGTTGTTCAGGAGAGGGTTTCTCATAAGTTAGAGCCCTTAAATAGGGCTCAAAACCGAAGAGTTAGGGTTTTGATTTGTAGCGATTACGCTTTGTGTAACATAACCTATGCCACGCGTAGGTTATTAAAACCGCGTCCATAAATAGCAAGTTACACCCTGCGTAATTTTTAGTTACGCCATGCGTAGGGCGTAGGACAAAACTCCTAATTTCCATTTCAACTTCAAACTGTCATAACTTCTTCGTTTAAACTCCATTTTCGATGTTCTTTATATGCACAGAAAGGTGTTGAAGATCCTTAAAGTTCCCTCTAATTACTTTTGACTTAAAACATATCGAACTAAATTCCTTAATTCATGAAAGAAGTCCAAAACATCACTTTTCCCGTTTACCCTTTGACTCCAAAACACAAACCAAGGGCTTGGATCACATAACCACTATTATCAACATCCAGTAGGTTCTAAACCATATTCCCTTGAAGTCCAAGGCATTTACTTGATCCATATATTGTCCACAATCTTGAAATAAGAAACTTCTTGAAACAAGATGTTACATATATGGATAGAATATTGAGTAAAAAAACTAGTCAAACTCATCACTTAAGCCTTTCTTTTATACCAACACTTAGTATAAAAGTTGGACATCAAATAATAGAAGCATGGAGCTTTATTACAAGCATGGCATGATGTAATAAACAAATCAAAAGTCATGTCTAATACCATCATTTCATATGGGTCAAAGGAGAAAAAAAATGACATGCTTTTTAGTTGATTCAAATATCTAGTTACATATGTTAACTTAATGATTACTCAAAGTGACCATAAAGTTGTACATAACATTTAAATACATATCTTATGTATATTAAGCTAGTTTTGTAATCTTTATTATTATTTCCTAGAAACAATAATTCTTAATATGTTGGTAAAATATTATTTTCACAAAAATAATATTTTTCCAATGAAATACAAGTGTTGATATATTTATTAATAATCAAATTATAGTAATAAACAAGCAATTAGTTGTAACTTGCTATAAGGTGTGATCCTAAATGATCATATGTTATTAACAATATCATTCTATAATTACTCTTGGGCATACAAGATCTTTCACATCATATGTTATGCAATTAGGTTTATGGCCAAGGAAAGGAGCATGTTCATCAAAGGAGGACTTGAAGATAATCGATAATTAGTTTTCAGTAACTAACAAAGTGAGTTATAATTCTCATTAGATTTTGATTCTATGAATTATAATCATACGAATCAATATGTATGCATCGTTAGATGTTAAAGGTATTAAGTTAAATACCAACAAGTTATTAGATGAATATAAAGTATGGTTATATGAGTTATTATATTATGAATGAGTATGTATGCATGGTTAGATGTTAATGGTATTATGTTAAATACCTACAAGTTACTAGACGGATGCTTAGTTTAGGTACTTAATGAATTAAGTGTTTGATTAATAATAGAAGATTTCTTAATGAAATGATGTGATTGAATGTTTATGTGGCAAGTGATATGGAAGACTATGGGAAGACCACATCATTTACATGAAAAATTATGAGAATGTAGATTATGCCAAGTGATTGTATTGGTCGGCTATGTGTGTGTGTGTGTGTGTGAGAGAGAGAGAGAGAGAGAGAAAGAGAGAAGCAATGGTTTTTGGTGGTAGTCGACGATGGGAAATGGTACTTTACGGCGTGGATGGTGATTTCCGATGGAGAAGTAGTGTTCGGTGGTTTATGATGGAGAGGTGGTGACTGATGGTTTATGAGAGAGAAGGGAGAAAGAGTATTTAGATTTTAGGATTTCTAGATTTTAGGATTTCTAGAGGTGAGAGTATTCATTAAAAGGGGGGGGGGGGGGGGGGGGATTATGTAGTGGGGCCACTATCTTTTCTAAACAATTTAATTAATTATAAATAAAGAAATTAAATTAAAATGTTTTTTAATAATTAAAACTAATAAAAACCTTAAATATAATTGAAAAAGAAGTTGAAAAGGATAATATAATCATTTTATGTTGTTAAGGGACTAAATGTGCAATGTTTTACGTTTTAAGGTATGATCCAAATTAATTTTTGAAAATAAAGATTGGACGTGCATTTTAACACCTATACAAGGGATGATTCGTGAAATTTACTCTGATTTTTATATCTTTTCTTATTAAAAGGATAAATTATATAAAAGTTATTATATTTAATTATTTTTGTTATTTAACAAATACATTTTAGATACATAAATAAAAGTCATCCAAGTTTAACAATATAACTTTTTTTATGTGGATCAGTTTAATTTGTTATACAAAAGGCTTCTAGCCCAATGGTATCCGACGTGTCCTCCTTCCCTGATGTTAAGGGTTCAAGTAATAATATTCCACTCAAACCTTTAAGTTTTGATTAAAAAAAAATGTATAGGAACCATTTTAAGCTATTATATGTCATAACTAGTCAAAGGGATCAACATATAAAAAAAATTGGCAAAGTTTTTCTTTAGAACGATTGGATTTTATATATAACAAAATGAGCAAGATGTTAGAAAATATAATTGAGTTTTATAACCAGATACTCCAATTAATCTTTTGTTGTTTAAAACGAAAAACAAACCGATTAAAAGATCACGTAATGATACTATCAAATAGAGCAGTTTTCCACAAAGTTGTTTTTTTGACGAAACTAAGGGGGTGTTTGGTTTAGCTTTTGAGAAGCCAAAAATCTTTTAAAAAAAGATAGAAGATAAAAGATGTTTGGCAAAACACTTTTAAAACCTACTTTTGGATTTTTGATAGAAAGAAAATCAACTTTTTGAAAAAATCAGAAAAATCTAACTTTTTACAACTTTTTAAAAAAAAACTTTTAGCTCTTAAAAAGTTAGGCCAAACACCCTCTAGAATACAATTGTCTTACCATAAATTTTACCAAAATAGTGACTTTTATTCAATTTTCCCCTTATTGATAGTATTATATTACGAAGGATATCTATGTTACTTTTTTAAATAAGACAATTTCCATAAAAATCATCATAATTTGATTATTATTATTATTATTATTATTTTTTTTTGTAGCCATCAAAAAAATAGAATATTATCATTACCAAGGATATTTATGTTACTTTTTAAATAAGACGATTTCCATAAAAAACATCATAATTTGATTTTTTTTTTTGTCTAACGACCAAAATAATAGAATGATATCATTACCAAGGATATTTATTTATTTATTTATTTTTATTTTTTTTAAAGAAGACAATTTCCATAAAAACCATCATAATTTGATTTTTTTTTTTTGTCTAACCACCAAAATAATACTTTCTAGTTTAACTACATAGAGTTTATCCCCAATCATGAATTGCAAACGCCACCGAAAAAATATTTTGTGGTTAAATATGTTTTAAACCTAACTTCTCAATGCTTAAATCATGAAAAACAAATTTTTTCATAGTTAAAATAACAAATTTTCAAACTACAACGTTTTTCATAAAATTCAAAGTTTTACTTAGTAGTTATTAAAAATAATAATAATAAAGTCTTTCGATTTAATAACAGAATGATTCTCCATTGGTTAAACCGAAAAAATTACAAACATGGAATTTGGTCTTGTACATCCAATTCGATCTCTACAACAGACTCCCAACCAAACTATCTCATTCATTCCACATCAATTACATATGCAAAATAGTGTTAAAGTTTGTTCAACAAAAAGCACCTAAAAAAAATACAAACTTTTCATAACATGTACACAATAATATTCTAACAAATACAAAACCAACAAAGTCCACATTTAAGTAAAAGATAAACACCACAAATTTTTTAACTCTTGAGGAGTGATTCCAGGGCATCAAAGAACAAGGGGGCCATTTCCGGGTTTGGTGTTTTGACAGCACACTTGATTCCAGGGACACCAATAACCGCTGTAATTTCAATCAGGAATGGAATCCCTCTTGGAATCTTAGCTGATAAATACAACACATCCTGATTCCCATTCTTACGTTTAGCAATAAAAAACATATTCCAACCAGATAACTGCTCCACAATTCCATCCACATTGCTAATCACAATTCCCTCCATCTCTTTCGACACCTCATTCGAATCCGGTAACGACTTCCATGTCTGCAATCACAGTTACAAAATTATGTCAACGCTTTTGGCCCCTGATTTTCTTCAAAATTTTTTTCCTCTAATAGGGCACCAAAATTGTAAGATGAAATTACTCGGGGACTAAAAATGAAATTTACTTTAAAAAAAAAAGGTTAAAGTTAAAATTACCTCAAGGAAAGCACCACGTTCCATTCTTCCATCTTCTGTAAACAACACAAGCAAGGAGACTTTATCACTAAAATACCAAACAGGCTGTTGATTGTTTTTCACAGCAATCTGCAACAGGGAATTGGGTGGGCCCGGTGCTATATTCTGAAACAGAACCATGGGCAAAACCGTCATTTCACACGTCCCCGGTTGCACTTGCGGGACCTGAAGCGGTCCACCAGCAGCAATACCAAACGTATTCTTGTTCAGCTGAATCATAAATCCATCCAACGCAACTTCACTCTTGTTCTCAAACATCAAACTGTAAAAAATCTGACCATCTTTTCTAACCAGTTGACCGCTGATTTCCAATCCTTGACCACTGCCAGCTGGCAGCAAAACAGGCAACGAAGGCTTTGACTTTGAAGACTGGTCAACCGACAGCACATTACTATTACTATTATCATTATCAAGACCAATGAGATCGAGCAGGTCGGGGACAGGGGCGACAGGTGGCGGTGACGTGATTGTCCCGTTATCAGGAACATGTGCAGATGATGTTTCCGAATACCCTCCTTCGGAACCTTCCGGAAACTCTTCCTCTTCTGTTTTCTGTAAGGTTTTGACACGTGTCACGAATGTTTCCGGAAGCTTGTGGTATACAGATGATAAAGTGGCAACATTTGCTAAAAGTTCATCAAGGAGAGAGGAATCGAATTGGTTTGAGTCGTCACTTATCACTGGTTTCTCAGCTAACACAACATCTTTTGCAGCCTGACATATCAAATAGTAATTTTAATATTAGTTTTTTTTTTCCCTAAATTTCTGTTTTATAGAAAAAAAAAAACAAACCTCGGGGTCGGTTGAAAGAAGACGCCAATATATATAAGCACGATCACGAAGATCTGGATTATCGGTTTCCACAGTGGCATTATTTAAAACAACCTGAATCATTTGTTGTGGTCCTTCAGTTGGTTTTTTAAGAAAAAGTTTTACAGTTGCAGTTAATAACTGTAACTGAACTTGTGCAGGTTCTTCCGGAAAGGTTTCCAGAAAACTTTCTAGAAGCTCATCAGCATTATCGATTCTTTCAGCATATTCACCAATTATCCAAATCATTGATGCCTTAGCTTCTGGTTCATCTAATGTATCCAAACTCTCACAGAGTGTGGCTATAATAGATTCATATCTGAAACAAAACATTTGGATTAAAGTGTTGTATTTTGGAATACTACAAAGGTTCTAGAAACTTACGTGTTGGGGTATCTTCTGAAAATGTCTTTGATGACTATAATGGCTTCTTGAACAACATAGTTGACTTTGATTTTGATAAGTTCTAGAAGAACACTGATGCAACGTTCGGCTGCTCTTTCTAATTTTATAGCACATCGACCAATAGCACGAACAGCTTTTCTCACAAAATCTACATCCACTTCTGTTGCGTATTCTTTAAATTCCAATAATACCTGTAAAATTTATTGGAATGTAAGGATAAAATAGTCATTTGGTCAAATAAAGGAAACAAAACAAACCCTAATTACCTGGTCTATGTTTCTATCTGAAGCAAGCTTTATCATGATCTCTAACTTTTCCATCTTCACATAGATTGGATCGTTGTACTTGCAAAAGAACACCTGGAAAATAGGTACTACTTTAGATTTTATACTCTTTTTCAGACAAAATGATAAAAAAAAAAAAAAAAAAAAACAATATTACCTTAATTTCATGGGCAAGGATTGTAGGGCGCTTCTGTACAATAAGGTTAATGTTCCTTAATGCAACATATTGAATCTCAGGTTCTGCAGAAAGTAATGTTACAAGTGGAGGAGCCATTTTCTTGCACAAATTCCGTACCACATCAGGACTAGTGATGAGTTCCATTTGTTGAAGAATCATCTACAGAATCAATAATAATAATAATAACAATCAGAAATATAAGAAAAGATAAATCAGAAATATAAGAAAAGATAAATTAAGTAAAAGATCAAATATAACACAACACACCTTAACAGCTGAAAGAACTACAGCACAATTCGCATGTTGCAGTCTTGGAGTAACTCTCTCTACTATATTTTCAGCTTCACGAGCATCATCTGCCTTGTATTTTGAAAGAGCATCCAATATAAAAACTTGACCCCACCTGAATAATGTCAAAAATGACTTTAATACCACAAATTAGTAGATAAATAGTAAATGACTTTAATAGCATACTCACTCAGTGCATTCGTTTAGAGCTGTAAGGAGCTTTGACAAGGTCTGGCTAGTGATCTCAAAAATGGGTGTACTGCTGTTATCTTGAATTTCAGCAAGAGCTGCAACAGCATTTGCTACTACCATAGGGTTATTGTCAGATATGAGATCTTTTAGGGCATCAAGAAAACCTCTATCTTCAACTAACTCAGCATTGATGTCATAAAGTTTAGCAACACATATAGCTGCTGTTTTTCGAACATATGGGTCGTCATCCTGTTGAAGACAATTTTAAATCATCTTAATATTTTTGTAGTTGATTGGTTACTGAAGATCAAAACATGAAGTAAAGACGATATTAACCTTGAGACACCTCTGGAGGGGGTCACAAAGATATTCTGTGATTTTATCAACTCGGATGCATCCCATTGTTCGAACAGCTAAAGCCCGGATTAAAGGATTTGGGTCTTGTGTATCCTGTTACATGTAAAAAATAATCAGTGTCTATAATGGGGAACAATTATGTAGATGTGAAAAGTGAGTTTATACCTTCACGAAGGTATTAACTGCAAGTATTGCTAGGTCAGGTTGACTTTTAGCATAATTGATGAGATACAAGTATACAAGCTTTTTGAGCTCCAAATTTTCAGTCTGCATACAGTTCAAGACATCTGTGAAAAGTGATGATACATCCTTCCCAACTGTCATAGCTGCAATAGTCTTTTTAACAGCATCTTTTCTCTTATCCTGAAATGCAGAAAAAAGATTTTCATAAAATCGACAGCTGACAGTAATGCAAATTAGCCATCATTATGTGCTCTCGGATCACAAAAAAGTAAAACACCCAAAGACTGAAACTAAAAGAATTTGTAAAATGCAAGGGCTGCATTGTCCAACTTCTGTGTAGTTCAGTGGTTACTGCCACCTGTAAGTATTCACAGGGAAAGTTCATGGTTTTCCAGACCAGTAGCCTTGAACGCTCAAACTCAAACTAAAGCTCATCATGACTGATTAATTCATTATTCCATGTATATATATTTCAATTTTCAGGAGAACAGAATATCGGAGCTTCAGAGAAGAGAAGGAACCTAATCACAACTACTTAAGACTATAACAAATTTGCAGAGTAATTCAAAATCCTACTACATGTAAATTCATGCTCCCAGTCAACAAACTACAACGATCTCATCGATGAAACCATTTGATACGATAATAGATCTGATAATATAGTTACGCAAATCTAGTTATTAAATGACTAGATCAATACAGCCAATTACAATAACCTCATATAGATCTATAGGTACATATTACTGTGTATAAACGAAAGAGAAAAAAGTAGAACCTTATACTGAGAATTGAGCTCCTCTTTGAGCTCAGGGATTTCTCCTTTCTTAGTTGTGGAGAAGTATTTTGAATCATGGCCGCTCATATCTGGTGGCGAACTGGCGATCGGAGCCGACAGCGACTTCAGGGGGCAGAAGACGGTTTCAGCAGAGGATTGGGGGAAATAGCGAGCGAGATTTGATGAAATGCAAACGGGTTTAAAGCGAACCCGGTCGTAGCCTTCACTTGTCAAACGTGTTTCAAGAGGATCACTGGATCAGGGACCAAAAATGTAATTTACTCTGCTTTAAAAATAAATAAATAAATAAAATAAAATAAAATTAAGACGATGATATGGAATCATATGTACGTGTGTTATGATGACCCATTTTAGAAGCACAAGTTAAATAGGTAAAAATACATAATTAGGATTCAAGTACAAATTTGGATCCACTTTTCTTGTTTTTGAGTTCGAGAAGTATTTTTCTTTTCCATGTTGGTCATATAAAACTTAAATCATAGTGCACCCGTTCATTGATCATATACGAAAACGAAAACAAAAAAATGAGAGTAGAAAAATTAATATATGAAAACGAAAATTTATCAATGGGGAAAGCATGGACACATTATCATGTAGCCAATCTCAACACATTACTCACTAATATATGAAAAACAAGTTAGACTAGTAAGAGATATATCTAGTCATTCCTTATCAAAAATATCTTACGTCACTTTCCATAAATAAGACGTATAAATCAATATATAAATAACCGAGAGTTTGATTTTATTTTTTAGTTAAAAACCATTTATAGGAGGATGTTTAGAATATTTTTTAAATGATTTTTGCCTTTTAATTTTTCTAAAAAATTATAAAGATGTTTGGAAGATGCAAAAATTCTTTTCAAATAATTTTTTTTGTAAATAATAAAAGAGTAGGTTTTAAAAAATGTGTGATTTTTTTTTGTAACTTTTAGATTTTTAAAGCTAAATCACACTCAAAATAAAAAAATACTATTTAAATATTTTTTAAAACCCACTTTTAGCTTTTTGTTTCCTCAAAAGAATTTACAAAAAAAAAACTTTTACAAAAAAAAATTTATACTTAAAAAATAATCCCAAACACCTTAAAAAAACAAACACCTAAATAATAATGAAAAAAAATCCAAACTACGGTATAAACTATATAGATGTTGACTAATAGGGAGTCAAAATTGAGAAACACCATTCTCACGAGCGTACAAATAAGTGAATATCAATCTTATCGATCGATTAATTGATTCGATTTCGTTAAATCCATTTCTTGCAAATGTTACGAATCAACATTACTCTCGTTACCCAAATTCATCGCCGTAGCATCTTCTCCTACACGTTATATCATCATAAGCTCTCGCCAATTGTAAGTTCGTCAATACCTCCGTATCATAGCTCGTTCAATGCATCCATGTCAAATTCGTCACTTAAATCATTGGAATTTAGTCGCATTTCACTTCTGAGTTTGTTTCGACAAATTGGTAATCGTAATTTGACACTGATTCACTCTTATAGTGGAGGTGGTAATGATGCATTTGATCGAACAGCTGGTGGGCAAGTTTCACCTTTAAGTAGTGATGGTGAATTGGATGAAAAAGATGGTGATTCTGGTTCTGATGATACCACTGTATATAAACAACCTAAAGGATGTGTTCCAACTTCCATTGTTGGTGAAAATTTGTACAATATTATCATAGACTGTAAGCCTAACAACCCACAAAATAGTTACATGGAGAGGTCTCTTGACGAAGCTGGTGTTCAATTGACTACGCCCTTGGTGATGGAGATTTTAGGTAGTCTTAGATATCAGGAGAATTTAGCTTTTCGGTTTTTCACATGGGCTGGGAACCAAGAAAACTACAGTCATGAACCTCAGGCATATAATGAGATGATCGATATCCTATCAAACACAAAATACAAGGCAAAACAGTATCGTATAGTTTGTGATCTTCTAGATTACATGAAGAGAAACAACAAAACTAAAGTGCCTATGGAAGCATTGATAAAGATTCTGAAGCAGTATGCAGATAAGCATTTGACTCATCTTCATAAGTTTGCAAAGAAGAAAAAAGTCAAGCTTAAAAAACTCCAGCCAGAAATCGATGCGTTCAACGTGTTAATAGATGCTTTTTGCAAGTCTTGTTTAGTTGAAGATGCTGAATCCATGTTCATGAGGATAAAGAACAAAATCAAGCCCAATGCTAGCACATATAACATCTTGTTTTTCGGTTGGTGTAGAGTGAGAAACCCTAAAAGAAGTACGCAAATACTTGATGAAATGATCCAAATGGGGCATACCCCAGAAAATTTCACCTACAACACTGCCATTGATACATTTTGTAAATCTGGAATGATCTCAGAAGCTTATGAACTTTTAGAGTTCATGAAAGAAAAAGGTACATTCATGTCTTCACCCACTGCTAAAACATATGCTATCATGATTGTTGCATTTGCACGTGAAAATAAAATGGATGAATGTTTTAAACTTGTTGATGACATGGCATCTAGTGGATGCCTCCCTGATGTTTCAACATATAGAGAAATGATTGAAGGGATGTGCTTAGCTGGAAAAGTTGATTATGCTTATAAATTCTTGGAAGATATGAAAAACAAAGGCTACCCTCCTGACATTGTTACATACAACTGTTTTCTCAAGGTTCTTTGTGATCATAAAGATAGTAAAGAAGCATGTAATCTTTTCAAGAAAATGATTGAAGCTGGTTGTGTGCCAAGTGTCCAATCTTATAACATGCTAATTATGATGTTTTTCAAGATTAGTGATCCGATTAGGGCGTTTGAGATATGGGATGAGATGGATATTCATATCCGTGATACTGATTCTTATTGTGTAATGATTGAAGGGCTTTTTGGGTGTGAAAGAATAGAGGATGCTTGTGGTCTTTTGGAACAAGTTTTGAATAAAGATATGAAATTGCCTTATCAAAAGTTTGATTCTTTCTTGATGCAGCTTTCAAGAATTGGTGATCTTCGTGGTATTCATAGATTGTCTCAACATATGAGAAAGTTTTATAATCCTTCTATGGCGCGTAGATTCGCATTAAGTCAGAAAAGGAAGAGTGTTAGTTTAAGAGGGAAATGATCGGTTTTATGTTGAGTTTGTAGTTGATATTTGGGTATCCATTTGCATAATTTAAAGTTTGAACAAACTAGTTTTTCTCAAATTCCTATAATAGTGTTTGTAGTTTATTTGGAAATCAAGAATTTTTATAGTTGAATGGTGTTTTCTTAGGTGCAATATATATTATCAACTAAATTTAATGGATACATAAAGGAAAGGAAAACTAGTTTCTCACTTGATTGTTGATTAATCGTTCGTTTAATTTTAGTGGAAAACTTGTCCATATTAGAACTTTCATGACTAAATTGAGTAAGTTAGAGATATTTCTTAACCTAAATATGATATAAACCCTTATAAAATCGCATTTCTAAATTCAAATTAACATTTATTAATAATACAAGTAAAAAAATAATTGTGTGGTTTAACTTTTACTTGACAAACTAGAATATACTACTAATACACATAAAATAATTTTGTAGTTTCTAAGAGAGAAGGAATAATAACATGATAGTGACTTGTATATGTAGTATCCGAATTTACCGATCAATGTCTTGAACGGGTACAAACAAAAGAATCAAACATTAGGGATATGAAAAGGATTGTTGGTCGCCATTTTTGGTGTTGATAAAGACTACCCCACTAACTCTCTCATTGCAAAAACATAAAAAAGGTGAAAGTGGAAGTGAATTTATTTCCGACGAAATAAATAGTATCATGTGTATGTGTTTGATTCTTTTTTGTGTTTGAAAAATCTTGTTTTTTAACTTATTGTATTTTAACTAATTATTATATGGATATAAAAATAACTGTGGATCAATTATTTTAGTTATTTTAAAAAAAACATTTATCATTATTATTAATTAAAAAAAATAAAATAATACTATTTAATTAAAAGAAGGGTAAAAATTTACATTTCCATTAGTTTCAAATTAGGAAGCATAAATTTAAAAAAAAGAAAAAAAAAAATCGGATTTTAAGGAATTTTTTATTATCTTAATTTTGAATCCTGATTTTTTTAGTTAATTCAATTTTAATTCTATCAGAATGTCATTCCGTCAGAATGATGTTCTATGATAATGTTTTTCTATTAGAATATTAATAAGAATAATAAAATTCTTGAACCTGAAATTGAATAATAACACAATTCTAATATATTTATACACATTGAATAAATACAAATTCATAAATATTCTTACATACCGATACATTTTAATATAATTGTACATATTCTAACAGAATGTTATCAAAATGAATAAATTTCTTAAGAATAACATCCTAAAATATACAATTATTGAACGGATACACTTAATCTTCTTCAATGGCCCAAATAATCACACTTAATATTCTTCAACGTAACTTGTTATTGAACTCAATTCCAAGTCTTTCTATTGTATGATCAATCATTGATTCATTCTTCAAACCATTCTGAAAGAATAGTTCATTACCAAATAAAAAAGAAAAAACTAAAGTCCTTTATACAAATTTGCATACTTGTAAATTGCACAAAAACTCATAACCAAGAATTATAGAAAATGCACAAATCACAGAGGAAATATCGAGATTCAATTCCGACATAATCGGAATCGGAGATTCTATTACGATATAATTGAAAATCAAGATTTAATTCTGGCAGAATTACTCCCACCATTATTATATGTGAATACAAAATGGAAATTTAGAACACGCATTTGAATAAAAAAAAATCAGCATGAGGTTTGGGATTTACCTCCTCCTTTCTCTTTCAAGGCCACCAAAAACACACACAAGGGTCAATAATGCTCAAATAAGTGGCTAGGGTTTGCTAAGGTCGTATGGAGGTGTTGGAGGCTGATGAGGGATGATGTTTGGAGGCCATAGGTTGATTAAAAAGGGTCCAAACCCTAAAAATTAGGGTTTGTGGCTCACAGATGTACGCTAGGAGTATGCCCCGTGTACGTGAGCCCGCTATAAAAATTACAAAAATGAAAGTATAGGCCATTTTTTAATCTTTCTCATACACAAGGGACAAACTGCAATAACTCTTCATACTTAGGGTTAAAATTGAAAATACCTCATCAACGAGACGTTATAATCGGCTGCTTCCATGATGTTGTGAAAAATTTGTCATACAATGTAACGCTCCAAAAATCATGACATAAATTTTTTTGTTTTTAGATTAATAAATTGCTAATACATGTTATTCCATATACTCAAGGTAACCAAAATTTAGCAAAACATCATCGAATTTGAGTAATTCACAGAATGCGGAAACATGTGGTGTGTGCGTTGCAATTGCCCCAAGCTCCTTCATTTGAAAACCGAAGTACCTGAAACATAAAATGAAAACCGTAAGTACAAAGCTTAGTGAGTTCCCACAAATACCACACAACATACAACCACAAAATATCATGCAACGTACATATAGTTGCCATGGGATCCCCCCATGG